ACATAGCAGTTATACGTCTGGGCAGGCTTATGATTTAAGATTCTAGGTTCATTATCTAACAAGACTTGATATTTCACTCCAGATGAATTTACAGTCAAATTTCATTGTGAGAAACATTCATGGCTGGTAAGTAATATATCTGTGAACTATTCAAAAAGGCTGATGAAATTAAATTGGCCAGTATTTTTCCCAGTAATAGTTTCATGGCAGGTAAAGATTCTCAACAGAACAATGACTAATGAATGTGAACCCAAGAATAAAAATAGAAATAGGAGACAAAAGGAATATTAATAAAACCTGTCACCCATAAGGCTCATCATTTTATTTATTCATTTATTTCTTTTTTTGTATTTTTACAAAGGTTCCAGTAGGTTAATCTTCTATTAGCCACTTAAAAAAATAATTTCTTTTTTTTTAGTTTTTAATTATAAGTAATATACCTTTCTATTTAATGCTGACCTTTCTTGCCACTTGTGTTTCGGTTTTGATTGTGAACAGAAGTCATTTAGAATATTCTCCTTGAAACAAAGCCCTTGCTGACATTTAGTTTAATTTCTCCTCAGTATTTGTGGGGAAAAGTAATATGAATGCAAATAAATCCTCCTGCTTAATAATCTAATTTTAAAAATGTCCATGGAAGAACTAAATGTTCCTTAAAAATTATTTTTGTATGTGTGGTGAACATTCTGGTTGGAATTAGAAATATATCAGAAATGGAACAGTGGTATAAATAGAACACTGCTTATGGTTCATACTTAAAATGTGCACATAGCATTTTTCCCTTTAGTTTTATTGCATATAGGGTTTAAGTTAGATATGCCTTGAAAAAGAGTAAAATTTTAGTGCAATGATGGTATTCTCTATATACAAATAACTTTAAGCCCTCCCCTACCCCATGCAATGCATTTAACTGTTACATATTTTCTTTTGGTAAGTTTGTTCAAAGCTCTATTTACTCTACCTACAGATAAACCAAAAAAATAATAGAATTCAGTTTCCAAAAAGTGGACATTGCTATTGTGATATAAATTTATTTGTAGACTATTCATCTTAATTTTAAAGCTGGTTGCCCCCTGAAAGTGATTGCTTTTTGTTTTGTTTTTAATTAATTAAAGTTGAAATTTGGGTTACTTTTGAGGTGAAATGCCTGGCTCTTTATTTCTGGTTCTACCCATCTCAGAAGAGAATAGGAGTAAACTTGCCTCCAACTGGCGTGTTCTTTGTTTACCATTCCCCTTTTCTTTTTTTTCTTTTTTTAAACTTTTTTTCTTTATTAATTAGAGAGAGAGAGAAAGGGAGAGGGAGAGAGAGAGATGGAAACATCGATGAGGGAGAACATCGATTGGCCACCTCCTGCATGCCCCCCACTGGGGATTTGGCCCACAACCTGGGCATGTGCCCTGACCAGGAATCGAACCAGCAGCCTCTTGGTGCATGGGTCGACGCTCAACCACTGAGCCACACTGGCCGGGCACCATTCTCCTTTTCTAATTAGAATCTCTAGACATGTAGTAAAGGCCTATTATGGGCAAAGAATATGAATTTGTGTGCAATACCTTCTTATTTAATTGGTACTTCTCAATCCAGAGCTTCTCTGGGGACTTATAGGGTACGTCGGCTTCTTTTAGGCATCTTTCCCTGGAAGTATTGAGGAAAAGGAGTTCTCTGTTCTGGACTGTTCAGTCAGTTACCACACACCATCTGTTTTTTGCTTTTTAAAAATCCCTATCTATTGATGTGTCTTTCATTCATACCTCTTGTCCTTTTGAGTTGTGCATTTTGTTTTAAAAAATTTCTCTACTGTCATTTCATTGTGATTTTGAGATGCAGGGTCTATGGTCAGTCTGCCCTGTTTAACCAGAAATCCAGAAACCATTTGTTCATTGCTGTCTCTTAGTACTTGGCACATACTAGGTTCTTAAATAAATATTCGATGAATGAGTAATTGAATCAATTGAGTTAGAAGTTTTATAGTAATGGGGTTATATATGTACATATAACAACCTAAAAAGTATCTTTAAATGTGGTTTTGCTTTGGCTTCATTCCAGTTTTTGTTTTTGTTTTTCAACCAGGTCTAGGAAATTAAGTGTTTTACAGTATGTCCATCAATAAAACGAAAAGGCAGTGTACCAAATGGGAGACGATATTTGCTAATCATGTATCTGATAAGGGGCTAATAGTCAAAAGATATAAAGAACTCACAGAACTCGATAGCAAACCCCCTCAAACAACCCAATAAAAAATAGGAAGAAGATCTGAATAGACATTTTCCCAAAGAAGACATACAGATGGCCAGCAGGCACATGAAAAGATGCTCAGCATCACAAATCAGCAGGGAAATGCAAACCAAAACCACATTGAGATATTGCCTCATCCCTGTTCGAATGATGATGATCAAAAAGGCAGGAAGTGAGTGTTGGTGAGGAGGTAGAGAAAAGAGAACCCTTGTGCAATGTTGGTGGGAATGTAAATGGGTACAGTCACTATGGAAAACAGTATGGAGGTTCTTCCAAAAATTAAATAGAGAATTAAATATGACCCACCAATTCCACTTCTAGATATTTATCCAAAGTAAATGGCAATATAACTTGAAAAGATATCTGCCCCCATGTTCATTGCAGTATTATGTACAATAGCCAAGATATGGAAACAACCTAAGTGTTCATCAATGGATGAATGGATAAAGAAAATGTGGCATATGCATACACACACACACACACACACACGCACACACACACACACAATGGAATATTATCCAGCCATTTAAAAGAATAAAATTTTGCTATTTGCAACATTATGGATAGATCTTAAGGGCATTATGTTAAGGGAAATAAGTGAGACAGAGAAAGACAAGTATAGTATAATCTCACTTATGTGTGGAATCTAAATGAAACAAAACAAAAAACCCAAGCTCATAGATACAGAGAATAGATTGGTGGTTTCCAGAGGTGGGGGATAGGGAGTGGTTGAAATGGGTCAAGGGGGTCAAAAGGTACAGACTTCCAGTTATAAAATAAGTAAGTCATGGGGATGTAGTATACAGCATGGTGGCTATAGTTAATAATATTGTGTTGCATATTTGAAAGTTACCAAAATAGTAGATCTTAGAAGTTTTCATCACAAAAATAATTTTAAATGTGTATGATGACAGATGTTAACTAGACTTATTGTGATCATTTTACAATGTGTACAGATATCAACTTATGTTATATACCTGGAATAAAATTTATGTATGCCAGTTATATTTTAATAAAAAATGATGAAAAATAAAGCATGTACTACTTCAGGATGAGTAAATGTTTGTTTACTTGGTCAAGCACAATTATAGCTGTTTGATTAGGCTTAAGATACACATTTGCCTGTTTATAATATTTTTCTATAGATAAACTTGTATTGAGGCTGATTTATGTAGCAAGCACAGTCTTTATTCTTCTTTAAAAGTATGTTTAGGTAGTTCTAAAGAGAGAGATTATGGCGCCCATGGTGTAGAGCTTTCCAACTGCTGCTGCTCCCTAATCATTAGCCCTTCGTGGTTAATAAAATTTGAGACTCATTGGTTTAGTGTGGCATCTTATCCCGAGTTATTTTTCATTTCAAAGTGGAAATGTGAAGGTGGATAACATCTAGTAGGGACAACAAAATTAAGCTGTAAACGTGAGAGTAGTAGTAAAATTAATACTTTGAATGAGCAGATTATTATTCTTTTATTTATAAAGGCAGCCCTGGCCACAGAGGGGATTGTAGAAAGAGACACATATTATAGGGAGCTAATGATTTGGTTACATTGCTGGATCTTGGGTCTGTCAAATGGGGTGCCTCCACCCTCCATACACCAAGAAATGAATAAATGACCTTTTGGCATTTACCCCTAAAATCAATGTCTAAGTCCAAATAATGTACAAGTTACAGTGTTATTTTAAGCTTCCTTGCATTTATTATTTTCCCAATCTTTAGGGTTTAGGAATCTAGCCAGAAATCCAAAGAGAATTCTTTCTAAAGAGGTTATCTCTGAAATAGAGAAGGAAAAACCCACGTCACAAAAATGGGTTGATAGACTAATGATAGATGATAGACTAATAAAGTCGCCTGTGGAAAACCTTAGAGTTGCGGAAGATGAGGGTAAGGATAAGAGAAAAGTGATAGGAAACTTTTCAGAGTAAGATAACCAAGTATATGTATATTTTCTGGAATAGATTCTCTGCTGCTGAATATTTTAATGGTCATCTCCTTTAGAAATCCCTTTATTACTTGGTTGGCACCTTCTATCAAGTTGCTAACACACAATAAAGTCGGTTTCAGAGAGAAGAAATTTCTCAATTTCATCTATTTTCTCAGATAGAAGTATTTGTATCACAAAATAAAGGATGGAAATTGATGGTCATGGGAAAGATGAGAGACTATGAGAATCAAAGAAAGCTTTGGGAGAAGACAAGACGTCTTAAAAATATGATCAGGACTTTTTACATATAATTTTTCTTGTCCTTTTGAATAACTTTTCCAGGATGGTGATGGTGGTATTTCTGGAAAAAAAAACACACAACACACACACACACACACGCACACGCACACGCACACGCACACAGAGAAATAGAAAGACAGAGAACTGTTTCAGACCTTTATAGAAAAATAACCTCGTAGGTGTTAGAGTAAAAGTGATAAATAGAAAACCAAGTTCAGTTTTTTTGGAAAGGCTATGCTACCACTGGAAATTTAGAAGAAAAATTAACAATGAGGTTCTGACTTTTAACTTTGAAGTGGTAATACATTTAGTTCTTTCCACTTTCACTTCATAAATGAATGTCATGAAATTTCCTTCACGGTTGACTAGAAATAAAACAACAGAACAGCAGTATCTTAGAGTTGCCTGTGCGAGAGCCATAAATATTTTTGAAGGGTTAAAAAAAGCCAAGCTGATCCTTTACGATGGAAGGTAAGACGTGAAATGTTGTTTATGTAGCTCATTTCTCATTTGCCTTTCATGTTTTGGGCTTCTCTTCAGGCAGAAGGACTCCTGCGGAAGATGGAACTCTGTTTTTCAGAATGTGTTTCCAAGCCCATCAGCGAAACATGACACGGCTGCTCGGTGTTGAGATGCTTGCAGAACACCTGCTTCTCCGCTGTCGCCTTCCATCCTAGTGGAACCATGGTCTTCTCCGCGGTGTTGGCTGCGTCCCACACTGGGGCAACCAACACGGCGTTCGTCGTCTATGAAAACACGTACGTGAACATCACGGTCCCGCCACCACTCCAGCATCCTGGCGTGGGTCCGCTGCTGAGGTACAGTTTTGAGATCATGGCTCCCACGGCGATGAGTTCCCTGACCGTGAATAGCACAGCTGTGCCCGCAACACCAGCAGTTTATAAGAGCCTAAACTTGCCTCTCCAAATCATCCTTTCTGCTATCATGATATTTATTCTGTTTGTGTCTTTTCTCGGGAACTTGGTGGTTTGCCTCATGGTTTACCAAAAAGCTGCCATGCGCTCTGCCATTAACATCCTCCTCGCCAGCCTGGCGTTTGCAGACATGTTACTTGCCGTGCTGAACATGCCCTTTGCCTTGATAACTATTTTTACTACCAGATGGATTTTTGGGAAGTTCTTCTGTAGGGTATCTGCTATGTTTTTCTGGTTGTTTGTAATTGAAGGAGTAGCCATCCTGCTCATCATTAGCATTGATAGGTTCCTTATTATAGTCCAGAGGCAGGATAAGCTAAATCCGTATAGGGCTAAGGTTCTGATTGCAGTTTCTTGGGCGACTTCCTTTTGTATAGCTTTCCCTTTGGCTGTAGGAAACCCTGACCTGCAGATACCTTCCCGAGCCCCCCAGTGCGTGTTTGGGTACACAACCAACCCAGGTTACCAGGCTTATGTGATTTTGATTTCTCTTATTTCTTTCTTCATACCCTTCCTGGTGATACTGTATTCGTTTATGGGCATACTCAACACTCTTCGACACAATGCTTTGAGGATTCATAGCTACCCTGAGGGTATATGCCTCAGCCAGGCCAGCAAGCTGGGTCTCATGAGTCTGCAGAGACCCTTCCAGATGAGCATTGACATGGGCTTTAAAACACGTGCCTTCACCACCATCTTGATCCTCTTTGCTGTCTTCATTGTCTGCTGGGCCCCGTTCACCACGTACAGCCTTGTGGCAACGTTCAATAAGCACTTTTACTATAAGCACAACTTTTTTGAGATTAGCACCTGGCTACTTTGGCTCTGCTACCTCAAATCTGCATTGAACCCGCTGATTTACTACTGGAGGATTAAGAAATTCCATGATGCCTGCCTGGACATGATGCCCAAGTCCTTCAAGTTTTTGCCACGGCTCCCTGGTCACACAAGGCGACGGATACGCCCCAGTGCTGTCTACGTGTGTGGGGAACATCGGACAGTGGTGTGAATGTGGGAACTGCCTGACGTTTGGGGGATGGTTGTTCTTTATCTAACTCTGAATATTCTTTCACATGGCTTTTCCACTTCCACTTTACTGTTTTCTGTAGGTTTGTGTGTAAGTGTGTGTGTTTGCAGTATAAAGAAAGAATGATGACTGGTTATAATTCTGTTACCAAGGATACACAATAGGGAAGTGATCACAGATGTTACCTCCAGGGTTCAAGAGAAACCCTTGATTTAGGGCGGGAAGATGGTTTTTTGTTTCTTTCGTTGATTTTGTTTGGGAAGTAGGAATCAGAATTGTGCTTTATTGAGCCTACAGTTACACTGAATGGTAGGTGTTTGGTATGCTGCTCAGGTGTGATTAGTTGAGTTTATACTTTTTCTTCTGGATGACTCTGCTGCTTTTTGCCATCGAATTGGAGCCAAAAACCACATACATCTCAGTAGATAAATATTTACTTTTATTTAAAAAATAACCCAAGGGGGTTAGTGACATTTTGAAGGTCATTAATATTTACTTTGGTGCACTTTAAGAAACAATGTACAAACTAATTCAGTCATGTCTTTCAGAATTGTTTTTATACATGACATGCTGTGCTGTAGGAAACATCATTTCTAGGAAGATAGTTTTTAAAAAAATGTTTTATCTGCATGTATAGTTTTCAAGGAGAGAACATAGAAATGTAGAAATTTTCTAAGCACAACAGCGATTCTTTAGAGCAATAGGGCAAAGTCCAGGAGACAGAGCACCAGTGAGGGGTGGCTGGTGTGGGCTGCGGCGATTCCTTTCACTCAAGGATTCTCACTGGGTCCAGCAGGGAGAAGGACCTCCCACTTAGTGGGCACTTAACATGTGCCAGGCACTGTGCATTTTATCCTCACAGCATCCTGTGAGGTAGGTGTTATTTCTTCCTTTTTATAAGTGAACAAAACAAGCCTCAGAGATTAAAGTCCTGCCCAAGGTGAGTGGCAGAGCTGGGATCCAGAACACCTGCCGGGTCCCTGAGGCCATGCTGTGTCACTGTGCCACGCAGACACACATTCAGGTTCAGGTGTTTCACAGCCAGAAGGGAACTTTGCATATCCTTTTAATTTTTAAGAGTATAAAACCTTTTAAAAAATAACTTTTTTTTTTATTACAAAAAGAAATGTGAAACTTGCAGAAAGTCTGAGAAATATAAAAATAAAGTGAAATCACTCACAACCTTTCACAGTGGAACTTTAAAATCTTAGATAAACAAATGCTATCAGGAAATAAGGTCATTGTTTTTTGGTTTACAAAACAAGTGACTGACAGTTACGGAGATGTTCAGTACAGCTGTGTGTGAGCCTTGGCCTTGTGGATTTGGAGTTTCCAGTTGTTGAACGGTTTCTGAATGTTTTAGGGCCTCTAGGACAGCCCTGTTGTCCGTGCTTGCCCATGGCCGGGCTGGAGTTTGTGAATGTGCTCGGAGGTGAGTCTCCTACAAAGAAGCAGGTTATAATAGGGCAGATCTGGGGAGAAAATTATTTTTCTCTTGCTGATGATTTGACCCCTAGATGCATCCAGACCCTTTGGTCCCCTTCTCTCTGGAGCCACTGATACACTTTATAAAGTAGCTCACAGGGATGGGGCTGCAGACGAAGACCAGAAGGGCTGCAAGTGTAGCCTCGTGGCTACATCATGGGCTTTATCAAAAGGTAAGTTAACCATGGACACTTTGTGGATTTATAGCATCTTTTTTAGGAATTTTAGTGCTTGGTAACCAGTGGGGAAAGTGAGCCTCTGTTTCTTCATTTGTACAACCAGAGAGTTAGATGAGATGAATCTGAGGTCTAGCCCAACGATCATGTGCTCTCCTCCAAGTGAGAGAGGGGATTTTTGAAGAGCCCAGTTGACGTCAGCCTCACTCTTTGGTCTCCAGTATTACTTTTTACACTTTATTTCATTAGCTATTTCTTAACTTTGACTGTCTGGAGAGCACGTGGCCCAGCATTGGGAGTTAGGACTGTGGATTGATGGCATCACAAAAGACCCTGGAAACCCTGCTCTTGCGATTGTAATGGTGTTGGAACTCATTTTCCAGTTAAAGAACCTTTTTTGGACGCAAGCATATTCTTTAACATGTTGTTTTGGGATCATCTGAGGATGATAGTCACCTACCTCTTTGGTTCTACTTATATTACTCACAGGTAAAACTGTTGCACCCATAGGGATCTTACAGAACATAAACACTATCGTAGATACTAGTAGCACACTGAAGTGTATCATGCTTTCCGTTTCCAATATAAACTGGATTCAAGCAGATATTAATAAGTATAGTTGAAATTAGACTTTCTCTAAGGAAAGTCAGCATGCTCTGTATTCGTCGTACAATATATACTGGCAGTAGGTCTTGAGACTCCTTTTTGGTTGGGGTTGAAACTGAGCTTTTGTTTTCCTTGTCCTTTTTTATGAGCAACCCTTGGGTACTTGTGTGCTGCCAGCAGGCAGTGCGCCAGTAGGCAGCTCTGGACTACCTGCTGAGATGCTCCGTGTTGGTGAAGGAAAGAAGAAAGGGGCCTTTGTGAGAATTCAGCAGCACTGATCAGCAGCTTTTACACTGGATAATCTTGATCAGATGACAGTTTACAAATCATTTTGAACGTTTTTATTATGTATACAATTTAAAAGCTTTTTTTAAAAAAAAAAGTACTGTGGAGTACCTTTGAAAAATGTAGGTGCATACTCATATGTTGCCTATTCCCCTATATTTTCTTGAGGGGAAAATAAATACCACTATCACCGCTAACATAATCAGAAATGTATTTTTCTTTTTCTTCTGGCTACTAAATAAGAAGCATGAAAGTCATAGTGAAATATGCGTGGTCCAAAGAAATCCCCAATAGTCTGGAGTAGTGAATTCAAACTTCAATATGAATATGTGTCTAACTATTTCCAGGGGAAGCAGAAACGGATGCCCAGGACCCCCAGAGGGTGTGGGATTGGGCCCAGGAACGCACACTTTTATTTTGTTGAGCACTCTGCCTGATGCTGATGCAGGGGGTCCCTGGGGCACACTTCAAGAAACACTTCTGCTGAAAATATACCCGTTGCAATGTTGTGTTTTATTCAAAAAGGTTTGGTTTGTGTTGGGAGCCACTCTGTTCTAGTGCACGGGTAATCCGCACCCAGAGGGAAATCCACTGTCCCGTGCCTCACTTGCGGCCACGTGTGCGAGTGCTGGGTCTCACCAGTGCTAGCGTCTCCGTTCACCTGGCGGAATTCGCATAAACCCTCACAGTAGAGCAAAAGAGGGACTTATTTGAAAGTCATGCCTTCTGGAGTCTAATTCCTCTAATATCTTCTTTTCTCCCAGAGAGGTGTCTTTACTCTATGTAACCCCCTGAAGAGAACGAGGGGGATGTCAAGATTAATCTAATTCCTACTGCTCTCTTGTGCCGGTCCTGGTCAATGGAAGCATGAAGAAAAGAACCTTCTTAACTTTATGTATTTTGGTTGCTAACAAAGATATTTAATTTTTTCTTGATCTTTGCTTTTGTTTACATGAAAATATTTATGTATATATCACAGAAGAATTCCCATTTGCTTGACGTTGTGTTCTGCGATGATTTTTAGTTTAGGTTTAAAGGACCCCTTCATTCAAATTTATTTTCTCGACCATGGTTCTTCTGTACTGCCTTCATTGGAGACTCAGTTTTTATAATAAAAATATCAAAAGACATGTTTGTTATTACAAGTAAATGGTAATACATTTCTTAGATATATATTGGTACTAGGACTTTGTAATTAAAAATAATTTATTTTAAAATAGTACCTGGTCTGTATGGGGGGGCACTTTGAATTTTGGACTGTTAATATTCAGAAATCAAAAAGTATGGTTATTTGTGCATATTCTTATTACAACCAGGAAAAGTGCTCCCAATAAGAATATTAATAAATGTTTAATATTTCTAAAAGTGGAGTTTTGTTGTTTTTTAAGGACTACATCATCCTATCTTAGAAAACTTGTCATGAATAATATTTTCTGTTAAATTAAAATTTAAGTTTAATTTTAAATCCTGCTTTCCTTGGGTTCTTATTTTAAATTTGATCTCAAAACTGGTGTGTGTGTGACTGTACTCTACTCTTATTTTATCCTCACCCAGGACATTTTTTGTATTTATCTTCAGATAGAGTGGGAGGGAGAGAGGGAAGAAAGAGAGAGAGAAACATCGACATGAGAGAGACACATCGACTGGCTGCCACCCACACAACCCCAACCAGCGCCAGGGACAAACTGCAACCGAGGTCCGTGCCCTAGCAGGAACCAAACCCGGGACTCTCTGGTCCACGGGCCGACACTCTAACCGCTGAACCAAACTGGCCAGGGCATATACTCTACTTTTTAAAGTTCTCAGGGTAGTTAAGGATGAAATTAAACTTGGCAAGAGACTATTAGTATTAAGAAACAGTTTTAATAAATTCTGTCTGGAAGAGTTATGAAAATTTTACTGCTGAATCATTTAAAATTAGATTGTCACTTGGCAAATCAATGGCAGTATCTCCTCCTATTTTGACAAAATGATTTCACACTGCACTTCCATCTCGAAATTCTAAGGCCTATCTAGAATCCACTTTTTTTTTTTAATCCTCACCTGAGGACATTTCTCCATTTTCTGTTCATATAGAGTGGGATGGAGAGAGGGAGAGAAAAACATCGATGTGAAAGGGACACATTGAGGGGCTGCCACCCACATGACCAACCAGGGCCGGGGACAAACTGCAACCGAGGTACATGCCCTTAGCGGGAACCAAACCCGGGTCTCTCTGGACCACAGGCCAACAACGCTCTAACTGCTGAGCCAAACTGGCCAGGGCTAGAATCCACTTTTAAATTCATAGGAAATAACATTTATTTGTATTATAAGAGTTTTAATTTTTTTCCAGTCAGACATGGGATTTTATTTTTTTCACTCATATGCAATCGCTAAATATATTTCTTTTAAGTTACAAACAAAGGTTGATTTACAAAAGAAGGTTGTCATTAATCTACATTTGACAATCTCTTCTGGAACGGAAAGGTAAGAAAAATATAGCCAAATAGAGGAACATGTTAAACTAAAAGCATTTTTATATCTACCATGAAAATAATGAACCCCACTTGACTCATTCATAATAAAGAGAACCTTTAGGAGCAATTTCTACCTTAAGTATCAAGGTGCAGTGAGATTCAGTGCAAAAAGAAAAAAAAAAAATGTCCTACCTGTGTCAGCCTTCAACCAGAGGAGCTGAACAAGTAGATGATGTTTATTAAGAAATGTATTGCAAGGCTTGGCCTGTGTGGTCGTGGGGCTGGCTAGGCAAATCTGAAATCTGAAGGGCAGGCCATCCGGCAGAGCTGGCTGGAGAGCACAGGCACCAGCTGCAGCTGCTTTGCACAGGTGGAGTTTCATCTTCCTCAGGTCTCAGTTACGTTTTCAAGACCTTTCAACTCATTGA